TCCATCTCCATCTCCATCTCCATCTCCATCTCCATCTCTTTCTTCACCACTTCTTCTCCTTCATCTCCTCCTCCTTTTCCTTTTCTTTCTCCTTCTTTTCTTCACCTTCATCTTCTTCCTCTCCTCCCTCCCCTCTCCTCCCCTCCTCCTCCTCCTCCTCCTCCTTCCCTTTTATTATTTTACTTTTCGCTTCATTTTATTTTATTTATTTTGTTTAATTTTGCAGTTCCACCAGCCGGTACAATCATTGCCCTGCCAGGCTCAAACGTTACTCTGCCCTGCCTGGAAGGGGAGCTCGCAAACCAGACCTTGGTGCACTGGAAGTTCGAAGGGCGACCTGTGGCTTCCCCCCCTGCCGTGTGGGACACCCCAAAGTCAGCCCTTTTTCTGCCCTCCATCCATCACAACCATTCTGGCTCTTACAGCTGCTCCGAGGACAGCCGCGTTCTTCGCACCCTGCGCCTGGTAGTAGAAGGTGAGTGTTTTTTGGCTTCGGTTGCGTTCCTGTTCTTCTGCCCTCTCACAGCCCAGGGCCTTGCTCCCTGGGCTTCTGAGCAAGTGCAGAGTGCTTTCCCCCTTCCTGAGACAGTGATGGCTTCTCCCCCCTTTCCAGAACCTCCCAAGGCACCAGATTTTTCCTGCTTCCGTAGGAGCTTAGCCAAGGATATTCTGTGCGAGTGGAGAACATTGTCCCCGGTGTCACCGCGCACCAAAGCTTCACTTTGGGTGCAAAGGTGGGTATGCGCCATGGCACTACAGATCTGCAAAATAATGCCAAGCCTGGTATGGTGCAGGCAGGGTGGAAAAGGAGAAAGAGGGGGAAAAAGGAAAGCCAAGGGTGTCCCAAGGTGGGGCAGAACCCTCTGCAAAGCTGGGATAGCTTATGGCTCAAAATTCGGACAAGGTGATTCTGCGGCCATCACCAAACCAATTCCTTCATTCAATTGAGCCTCCCGTTGCATGGAATCGAGAGTTGGCCAGCGCCTTGAGGTCATCCAGTCCAACCCCAACCCATACTCGGTGCAGGGAATCAGAGCTGAGCTTCTCTATAGAGGTAACTCCTGTTTGAGGAAACGGAGAAATAGGGAGGTTTTGCTCTCAAACCACCCCAGTTGTTCCCTCGGACTTAATTTTCAAGTCCTGGAAAAGTTCTCCAGCTACGGCCAGAACCCTCTTTCTCCAAAGCTAAGCAGACTCCGATCCTTCCACCTCACAGGCCTTGGTTTCTCGTTCCCCGATCCTCCTCCTTGCTGCGTCTTGCCCGAAACGTGCTCCCCAAAACTGGACGTCGGTGCGGGGAGGCGGCTCTTCCTCCCTGCCTCGCCTGGGCCTTGTCTCGTATGTCCGTCACCTTCCATCTCCCTCTGACAGGTTCATGGGGGAAAACCGCACGGAGCAGCAATGCCGTCATTACAGCCGGTCCCAGAAGTTCTTATGCCGCGTTCAAGGGCTGAACAACGAAGAAGACGTCGTTCTCCTGGTGTCCGTCTGTGTGGCCAACTGGGCAGGGACTGCGCGTGGCCACAAATCCTTCCATACAGACTTTTTGCGTGAGTGTGCTCAACTTCACCAACACGTGTGCAATTAATCTCTCTCTCTCATCTATCTATAAATCATATCTTATCTATCTATCCATCTATCTGATCCATCCATCCATCCATCTATGTGATACCTCTGTCTGTCTGTCTGTCTGTCTGTCATCTATCTAACTGATCCATCCATCCATCCATCCATCTGATATCTCCGTCCATCTGTCCATCTATGTGATACCTCTGCTTGTCTGTCTGTCTATCATCTATCTCATCCATCCATCCATCCAATCCATCCATCCATCCGATATCTCCGTCCATCTGTCCCTCTATGTGATACCTCTGCTTGCCTGTCTGTCTATCATCTATCTCATCCATCCATCCATCCAATCCATCCATCCATCCGATATCTCCGTCCATCTGTCCCTCTATGTGATACCTCTGCTTGCCTGTCTGTCTATCATCTATCTCATCCATCCATCCATCCAATCCATCCATCCATCCGATATCTCCGTCCATCTGTCCCTCTATGTGATACCTCTGCTTGCCTGTCTGTCTATCATCTATCTCATCCATCCATCCATCCAATCCATCCATCCATCCGATATCTCCGTCCATCTGTCCCTCTATGTGATACCTCTGCTTGCCTGTCTGTCTATCATCTATCTCATCCATCCATCCATCCAATCCATCCATCCATCCGATATCTCCGTCCATCTGTCCCTCTATGTGATACCTCTGCTTGCCTGTCTGTCTATCATCTATCTCATCCATCCATCCATCCATCCATCCATCCATCCATCCATCCATCCATCTGATATCTCCATCCATCTGTCCATCTATGTGATGCCTCTGTCTGTCTGTCTATCATCTATCATCTATCTATCATCTGTCTTGCTTTAAGAATCCCCCGGGATGTGACTGCACATTGGAGTTTATGGCCAAAGCAAGCACAGTGATTGCCCAGCCCCCAGGCCGGGCAGGATCAAACCCACATGGATGCCAACCTCACTTTGAGGTGGCCCCTTTCAACAGCTTTCTCATCCCCTTCCCTTGCAGTGAGGCCAGATCCCCCGGCCAACGTGCAGGTGAGCGCCGTGGAGAAAGACCCGCACAAACTCCACGTCACCTGGAGGAATCCACAGTCGTGGGGATCCAAGTATTACCACCTCCAGTTCCAGCTACGCTACCGGGTGGAAACTTCCCGCACGTTCTCCGAGGTGTGACTTCTCTCTTTCCAATCCGTGGGAACGGGTGGGACGTTTTTCAGCAAGGAGATACATCTCCTTTGGCGCTCCAGGACAAAAGAGGTGCTTCAACTGCAAAAGGTGTCAACCGAGGAAGTAGCTTCTGCCTTCCTCTCTTCCTCCAGGTCCATCTGAAGCATGGGGTGACCTCCTACACCATTGTTGACGCGGTGCAACATTTCCCCCATATCGTTCAGGTGCGGGGCCGGGAAGAATTTGACCATGGAAATTGGAGTGAATGGAGCCGAGAAAACATTGGTATTCCCTGGTCAGGTGAGTGCCATTGTAAGGTGTGGACTTATTCACACCTCCTGTCTTGCACCCCAGACGGTGACTGTTTTAGTTTGAAGCTCATCAGAGTCGGTTCTTTTGAGCTTCACAGGCGACCTCTGCAAGTCGAAGGTGGAATGGACGTTTTTGCCATAAATCCACGTACCTGTTTTTGTCACCAACTCAGGGAACAAAGGCTTGCCCACCTCCCAGATGGACTGGACTTCAACTCCCACGATGCACCCTGTCGTTGGAGGATCCTGGGAGTTGAAGTCCAACCTTTCTGAAAGATGCTAAGCGGGCGGAGGTGAACTTTTGAGGGATCCTATCCTAGGACAGCACTATGAATCTCTAATGCTTTAAAGGATCCCTGGAGTTCCCAGCCGTGTTCTGAAAGAAGATCCAGGGATCTTTGGAGACGAGCAAATTGGGGGGGAAAAAAGCCTGTTTCTATCTTTTCTCCCACCTGCAAAATGCCTGATTTGTTTTAGCAATACCTGGGGAGAAAGAGAAAGGGCGTTACTCCTTAACTTTTTTAGAAAGTCCTGTTTTATTTATTTGCACCTAAACGAAAAGAAAAAAAAGAGAGAGAGGAAGAATATAGGAGCTGAGTCCCTTGCATAAGGCATTTGCGATAACTCCAGAATAAAGTATGGTCATGAGACGCTCTAAACCCCATCCGGCTTTTTCTTAAAGTTCTCCCATTTCCAATCTGCTCAGCTTCCTTTCTAACTCCTTAATTTTCCAGATTCGCAGGAGTTCAAGCCAGAAACAACCTACTACAATTCAGAGGTAAGGGAGCCCTACGCTAAATCTTGTTGGCAGAGGAAGAAAACGCCCAGAAATTGTAAGAAAGTTTTTGGTGCTACAGCAGTCAGTGCAACATTTGCATCTTCCTCTCCTACTTTCCCAAAAGTTGCTCTACCGATGCAGTAAAAGTTGCAGTCGGAGCCTGGGTTAGAAAAAGAAGGAAGCAAAAGAGATTACGATTATTTGTAAAATTGCAAATGAGTTGCAAACAGCAGAGTTGCTTAAGTCCTTCACATAATTTGAAGGAAGGATCAAGAAGGTCAGAAACCAAATATTGATCTGTTCCAATTTTGGTACATTTTTTCCCCTACTTCCTTTTTTTTCTTCTTTCCTCCTTTTTTTTTTTTTTTTAGTGTTTACAGATAACAATTCAGTGTCAGCACTAAGCTCAAAGATTTATATTCTTTTCCATAGCCTCGAAATAACTCCATATAGTTTGTCTGGTCTATTGTTTCCTGATCTTATACTGAGCCTTAATTGTCTAACTTTCGCCATGCTTTTCGTCCAGTTACATCTTTCGAAATGATATCTTTGTTTTCAGTTAAAAAATGAACGATCAAAAAAAAAAAATGAAACGGTTCTCCGGTGAGAAAAGGCCGAAACAGAGAGGTTTCCCTGAGTTTTTCACCTTTCTGTTGATCCTGGTTTGTCTCTCACATCCATGGCTTTTGTTAGGATGGATAAAGCAAAATATAACAGAAGCATAAAACAAAGCATTGGATCTCCCAATTTGCTTTCCCCCTGGAATTTTAAGGGCCATCTCAAAGTGTTTTCTCATCACTCATTTTATAACTTCATGGCACACACACACCCCAAAGAAGAAAAAAAAACATGGGAAACATGTAAAGAAAATGCTTTGCTGGCACGACAGTGCGGACGCGTCGTAAACAACCAGTGTACAAAGTGCAACTGTACCATTATTAAACGGGCACTACAGAAATGGTCTCCGGTTTTTACTGGATGAGCAGGAGATGAGATCTGGGTATTTATGTGCTGCTGGGAGTCGGGCAGCATATACATTTAATATGTTATTGTGGTCGGTCGCACAATCAGCCAGATGTTTAGCCTGGATCTGGCATTTTTATCCACCGATTGAGGGTTTCCCAAGGACCTAGGATAGGCAGATGTTCTTGTTGGATGGGGTTCAAGGTATCATTGCAGGATATAAGCTGTTCCAAGTAAGGCTGCCTTGTACAATTGACTTCTTCTTCTTCTTCTTCTTCTTCTTCTTCTTCTTCTTCTTCTTCTTCTTCTTCTTCTTCTTCTTC